GTACCTCTAGTAAGATGGGCATTCTTGTTCTACCTATAGCTACCTTATAAAATAGGTATCTACTACCTACTTTTCATTCAGCAGAGTACTGTGTAGACTCCCTATGAACCTTGTTGAAGACTTCTTAATCTACGCTGGATTCAGATGATTTTAAAAAAGCACTTTTTCCTCTTATGATGAAGAATGTTACTGTGTATTTTATGAAATATTTAACATCTTGCCATTTTCTCCTTTTTTTTTTTTTTTTTCTAAATCCCCCTGTATTTCACTGTCACAGCTTGAAGTAGTCCTGCAGTTCAGAGCTACCTGTCTCTTGTATGCCTGATCACTTCTGTTGTTTTAATGAATATTTACCATCCTGCAGAAAAGCCTCTGCAGCTGTGCTCCAAAACACCGGAAAGAACTGGGTCTTTTTAAAGCTATTACTCCATCATTCAATAAAAGGAAAGACAATACATGGCAAACTATAATGAAGCTTCCTACCTTTTTGTTTATACCAGTGCAGCACAGGTTTAATAACTGCTGTAAATTGAATGAGATAATGGTGTAGGCTAGACAAATAACATTAGTATTCAACAGATTGCCTTACCTTGATATTATTTGTTCAATAATGATTTAAAAAGGGATAGCCTCATTTCCACCTACCAGTAACCTCCATGGAGACAGAGCTGGGAAGAAAACTATTTTACTTTTCTGTAAAAAAAATCAAGAATTAGAAGAAAACAAGAATTTTAGAAGGCTGGGGTGTCCCATCTCATAAAAGGTTACCTTTGTAAAGATTTAGGCTAATTACTCAGGCTTTCCATTAGTCTACTGAGAAAAATAGATACAGAGAGCAATTCATTGTTTTTTTTGGTAGAACTGATGGGTAGAACTGATGAACTTCTGAAGTGTCTGTCTTTTTCAAGGCAGTGGGTTTGAATGAGAAACTGGAGTTAAGAGGGGGAAAAACAGAGCACAGATCTCAGATTGCTGATGATTATGGTCCGTACAGAAACACTGACTATCACTGTACTTGTGTTCATGAAGTTTTTATTCTGGATAACTATGTTACCTGTCATCAGACATACACTTGAACACAGTTCCCCTCTCCCAGTTGAGAGTTTCAATCATCAGCTTTTACAGAACTTCCTCTACGTTTAACTAACAATTGCATTCTGTAATGTGAGCAAGATTTCCCAGCAAGTGTTTTATCAAAGTAAGCACGCTGCTGAAGGCTTCTGTTCTCCTATGTTTTTTTGCTGGTGAAAAAAAGCAACAAGAAACCAGCACAAAAAAAAGAAACAGAATCTCAACAGCATTTGAAACTAAGACTTTTCAGGAATTGGTAGAAAACATCAATTTGATGTATTATTTCAGACTTGCCTTCATCTTATTTAAACCAATGGGAAAACTCCCAAAGACTTCAGAGAGCATACTTCTTTTCCATGTGAAAATAACTATTAAAAGAATAAGAAACAGAAAGATTAGGCTCTCTGTTCTAAAATTGCTCTGGCTTTACCCTGTCTCCTCTGTAAATCAGCCACATCTCTCTTAGTAGCTTTGTTGTCTGTAAAATTGGGAGAACTGGTACACTGATGCTTCCCAGAGAATCTGCAGGAGAGAAAGTTATAAGTCATTATAAAGCTTTAAGTCAATATTTATTAGAGCAAATAGATTTAGAAAGGTATCTAAAACAAGAGTATTTATTAAATGTGTGTTTATCAAAAGAATAGGATATACTATGTTTCATATAAAGTAGTTACTGGTACTATCTTACCTAAGTACACAGTCCTGGAGAGGAGCTAAATGCTTTCAGGCCTGTTCATTCAGTAAATGAGTGAATTGGAGAACTCAAATACTGTCTCAACTTTCCACAACATCTTCTTCACATCTTCCTAAGTTTGCTCAGAGGCTGGAGCACTTTGACATCTTTGGACAAAGGCGGAGACAAAGGAGAAATAATGAATGTTTGGGGTCAAATGCTTGGACAAGTCATTTAGCGTAATTCCTTATCACCACATCATAAAAATGCATGAAGCTCCATTTTCTGTTTCCAGTATTACACCTCCCCTCCCTTCCCTTCATATTACACAGAAAACATAGTCCTGTTTTAACTCATGTATTTCCTCCCATTTTTCTCTATCCCAGTCCTCAAGAGTATTCTATTTTTGCCTGCGAGTACTGTGAACATCCTCCTTATTGAAAGCCTCCCAACATTCTGTCATCACTAATTTTAATTAGCACTTTTCTACCTTTTCTGGCAGGAGCATCAATAGTGATCCTCAGACCAATAATTATAAAATAACTGAAATCATTCTTCCTTCCTTCCTCTATTTCTGCACAGCGATCCAGCTTCAGTTGGAAGAGTGTATTTGCTATCTGGTCAAGCCTACAAGTCTAGGAAGGAGCTCCCAGGAGCCTGACAGAGACATGTACAAACCTTCTGGGCTAAGGAAGTCAATGAGTCACCCATTTTATTTTTATTTTTATTTTTTTTACTAACTATTCTAATAGCCCAGTTCTTTTACAAAAGGTAGACAGCAATGCCACACCTGTGATTAAAAGATATTTTCTAGGACTTGCTTTTATACGGCACTTGATGAATCTGTATCCTGTCCAGAATTTATCTGATTGATTGGCTTGGGATATTTTATAGAATCACAGAAGTGAGGATCTGGCATCTGCTCAAGCCAGGGCTGCCCAGGATAAGGAGAAATGCAAAAATGGAACTCAAATGCCACTAAAGGTAGGAGTTGTAGTAATAGGGACTTTTAAAATGACTGCTTCAGACTTCAGATGTTAAATACACTCAGTGACTGATAAGCAGGTGAACTGTAGTCATGTGTAAGTATTTTCTTGAAAGAGAATACACCCAATCTTGAAATAAGAGAACAATCAAGACAATGAGTGCCACCATGGAAAATAAGTGAGGCCAGGGATCCCACAGCAAGCTCGTCTGAAGCTACTTTCACATCTCCCTGCAGTTGGTATGCTTAGTTGCAATCATAAAATCATTTAGATTGGAAAATATCTTCAAGATCATCATGTCCAACCATCGATTAACACTACCAGGGAGGTTCAGGTTGGATATCAGGAAAAGGTTCTTCACCAAAAGGGTGGTCAGACACTGGAACAGGCTCTCCACAAAAGTGGTCACAGCACTGAGCTTGCTTGAGTTGAAGTAGCATATGGACAACACACTCAGACATATGGTCTGATTTTTGGGTGGTCCTGTGCAGTCAGGAGTTGGACTCAATGATCCATGTGGGTCCCTTCCAACTCAGGTTATTCTATGATTATGTGATCCTTATGCGTCCTTTCCAAATTGGGATATTCTATGATTCTACCAAGTCCACCACTAAATCATGTCCCTCAGTGCCACATCCACAGATCCGTTAAATACCTCCAGGGAGGGTGACTCCACCACTTCTCCGGGCAGCCTGTCCCAGTCATAGAATCATTACAGTCGGAAAAGACTTCTAAGATGAAGTCAAAAAGTCAACTCATTACCACTATACCCACTAAACCAAGTCCCTCAGTGTCACATCTACATGTTTCTTGGACACCTCCAGGGTCGGTGACTCCACCACTACCTGTTCCAATGCATTATCACTCTTTCTGAGAAAAATTTTTTCCTAACAGTTAACCTGAACCTCCCCTGGGGCAACTTAAGGCCATTACATATCATCCTTATCTCAGGTGGCAAGTGATAGGACACACAGAAACCGTCTCACAAAGCTCCCAGAATGAGCGGCAATGCATTGGAACAGGTGGTGCTGGACTCACCAACACTGGAGGTGTACGAGAAACACGCAGATGTGGCACTGAGTGCCATGGTTAGTGGACATGGTGGTGATGGGTCAATGGCTGGACTAGATATCTTTGTGGTCTTTGCCAACCTTACTGACTGTATGATACCCCAGTGGCTTCAACATCATTTCAGTGCAGAGAGCAACGAGGTCTCCAGTGTAAACAACCCCAATTCCACCAGCTGCTCCTCATAGGTATTGTTTCCAGCCCCTCCAACGCTTCTATTGCTATTCTCTTGCAGCGAGACACAGAGAAAACGAGCTCGAGCGTGGAGAGCTGCCTCTGAGACACAGGGAGGAGGACGAGGAGTTAAGCTTCACGAGCTCGCCCCTCTTTCCCTCAGCCCAAAGGCATCGCGCCTCGGGGAACGGAGCGAGAACGGACCCTGTGAGGACGAACGGATCCGCGCCCGCTGACGGCACCGGAGGCGGCGGCCGACGGCTCCGCCACCTGAGGCGCCTGCGCAGGCGGGGCGGGAGCTCCCACCTCCTCGGTGCGAGGGGCGGCAGCCTGACCCCCTCCCTCCTCCCCCGCAGCCATGTTAGTGCGGGGAGCGAGGGAGGGAGAGGGCAGCGCGCATCCCATGGTGCAGCGCGCCGGGAGGGCGGGGGAGAGCGGCCTGGAGCGGCCGGGGCAGGGAAGCTGGGAGGCAGGGAGGGAAGCGAGCGAGCGAGCAAGCAGCAGGCAAGCCAGCCAGCCAGCCTGCCTCCTCACCGCGCGCAGCCACGGTGCGAGCAGCGCTGCTGCGAGACCACCTCACGGCTTCACCCACCTCAGGGCCGCCGGGGCGGGACGGGGGCGGCTGCCCGCAGCGCGGTGAGTGCGTGAGGAGGGGGCACTGAGGAGCGGAGCGAGGCGGCCCCCGCTTATATAACGGGGAGGGGGCGTCCCTGAGGGAGGTTGGGCTGGGGGAGGGGTGGGCAGGGCAGCGGTTTGCCTTCTGTCGTCGTCGTCTCCCCCCATCTCGTGGGGTACGGCTGTGTGAGGGGAGGCTGCGCGCACGCGGAGCCGCGCTGCGAGCGGAGGGCTCCGGCTGAGGGTTGTGGGGTTATGGGGAGAGCCGTGCTGGGAGGCCACGGCTGAAAGGGAAAGGGGGGCTGCGGGCGCGCTGCATCCCGCCGGCCTCCCGCCCGGCTCCGCGGCTCGGCCGGCTCGGTCCCACCGGATGTGGAGCGGAGCGGAGCGGGACGGTCCGTCAAGTAAACAAAGGGGAAAGGGAAGGGGAGGGGGGGGATCCCCGCCTGGTTCGCCCCTTCCTCCTCCCGGGAGGGCCGGTGGATGTGCGGCTGCAGTGAGGCGCTCGAGGCTTTTTTCTTACGCACAATGCCGGTTTTCGCATCCGTTCCCCTTCCAAACTTTCCTCCTTTTAGGAGCGGGGCGGGCGGTTTCTTTGATATATATATTTTTCTCTCTCTTTTTTTTTTTTTTTTTTTTCCTAGCTGGAGGACTGTAGCTCGCTGTAGCGGTTCACTGCGAGCCGGCTGGCGGTCGGGCTGATCGAAATGCTCTGAAGGCAGAGTTTACCCTGCAGGCCCCAGCAGCGCTGTTTGACTCGGCGGTGTCAGCCCGCAGCTCCGTGTTTGATGGCAGTAATAGCGGTGCTGTAGCGAAACGTGTCAAACAAAACAAAACAAAAAGTTGGCTTGAAAGGAGAAGCGCTTGGGGATTGCTGCCGAAGTAAATGGGATTTAAATGTGTTAGTTTGAAAGTGGCGTTGCCGTGCCTCCTTAAAGATTCAGGTTCGCTCGGTTTTTCAATATCCTTTTTTTTTTTTTGGATTGGAAAAGCCCCGCATTCCTCCCAGCTAATCTGCCGTTAGCATCTCTGGTTTTATTAAACCTGGGTTAGGTCAAGAGCGCAGCTGGGTGGGGACCAGAAAATTTAGTTACACAGTTATTCAGAACAGCTTGTGATCTTACTGATGTTGTCCGCGTCCGAAATACCCCTGCTTCCTTTCTCCACCCATCTCCTTTCTGATTCCCTCTACAATCAGGCTGTTATCCACCACGTTTCTGTGTCGGAACACCTTTGCTCCTCTGGTGTGGTTTGCAGTGTGAGGGCCGCAGCCTTTGGGTTTCTTGACATGAGGTTTATAGCAGAGTGAAGTATGTATATTTGATAAATGTAATGAAATCCTGGGGTGTTATTAAGAACAGAAAAAGAAAAGGGAGGAGGCATTTCTTTAGTTGCTGTGAAACATTTTCTCTCTGAGAAATACACTCTTAAGTAGGTTTTTTCTTTTTTTAAGTAGTCAGAAATTAATCTGTCCTCTGTACTATTACATTTTAAATCCAGTATTTGTAGGTTGATGTTGAACTCGGATTGATGCTTGCGTTGGTTGACCTTTTGGTTTTATAGAAAGGGTAAAATGCACATATGAAAGGAAGATGGGATGATACTTATTTGTCAGCAGCTCTAAGCTTTATTCAGCCTTAGGTATTAATAAAAGTGCGAAGCGTGTGCGGTTGATATAGCAATCAGCTGGTAGTGCTGGCATTGGAGAGCTTCATCCAGAAATGAGTATTCTTAGAATAGCACTCTGCTATCTTGAGGGTGTGATTTGCTGAAAGAGCTTTAAAAAAAAGTTGCAATTTCTAAAGATCTGATGTGGTGATGCAACTTTGCTTCAAAGCAATTGCACGTCGTTGAAAGGGCTTTCTTAAATATAATGGTTTACCACATTATGACTAATACTTGAAAGGGGGAAACCTTGGTTTTGTAAATTCCACCAAACTAGTGTGTATTCGGGGGGGATCAGGAGAATAGGGCAGCAGTGGTTCTTTTTGAAAATCAAGTACTGAACCAAGTAGGTCTGACGGTTTAGCAGATTAATTTCTATTTGTAATTGACTATTCTTATTTTTTTGTTCAGTATTGATCAGTGTTTTCTCCTACTCTTTCACTGTGGTGTGCAGTAATCATGGACTCACCAAGGTTGGAAAAGACCTCCAAGATCATTCAGTCCAACCATCTGCCTATTGCCAGTATTTCCCATTGATAATAGTAGTGTCCTCATCCCAGACAGCTGTCAGTGAAGACGCAGTTGTGTGACTCAGCTCCATCAGATGTGGTTCCCAGGTGCTATTTTTCTTCTCGTGTCATGCAAGCGTAGTTCTAACATTCCAGGTACCACTGCTGAGTACTTTGGACATAGCGACTTAATTTCCTGAAAAGGTTATGGTTATAGGGCAGTACTTAAATCTCCAGTGAACAAATTCTCACTGTATCATTGCCCTCTTGTATGGAGTGGCAGCAGAAGTGATTTGAGTCTCATGATTTGTGTATAGTTGACATTTAGGAAGTTGTGATGTCCCATGTGCTATACCACAATGTTAATAGGCATATTTGGACAGTGGTTAATGGGTGATTAGGAGGACCTGCTGAGGAATGTGGTTAATTAGGATCTGAACCTCTGGTTTTGTACTGTGGACTTAATTTTTTTATTCCATTTTCCTTGTAA